TGAGGACGGCACCCAACTCATTCCACTGATGACCCCAATTGTTGCCATTTGCCAGTGAGCTGGGGTGGTTGGAAATGTCCTCCCTGTGCAAAGCCCAAGTAGAAAAACCCCTCTGGGAGCTAGGATGTCCCTTAGTGCCACCTCCATGCCCATAGGAAAGGGACAGTGGCCAGCAGCGCAGTGTGTCCCTTTGCTGCCAGCCCAGGGACGTCCCCCAGCATCCCCACCGCACACATCCCCTTTGCTGCTGGTGGGATGAAGCAGGCAGGTGCTGGCATCACCACTGCCCCACGGGCCAAGTGTGGAGCCTGATGGGTGACCGATGTCCCCCCCACTGTCACCCAGCTCACCTCCAGGACATGTTTCTTGCTGGACTTGTCCTTGCTGGCCCAGGTGAGGGTGGCCCCGCGCAGCTCCACCGTGTGCTCGGGTGTTGTCAGGGTGTTGGGCTGCCGCTGTGGGAGCAAGGGGATGAGGGTGGCACTGCTGGCACCTGCCCGGAGGGGATGGGGACACCGGGGTCCTGCTCTGCAGGAGGGCTGTGGGCTTTCCTCCTCAAGAAAGGCAGGAGTGGCAAATGTCCCTTGTGGGACACTCTGTCCCCTCCCATGGCACCCTGCAGGACCAGGGCATGGTGCTGCTCCTGTGGGGTGGGTGCCGTGGCCACCAGCTTGGGGACAGCTGGGCCTTACAGCCACTGTCACCTTGTGGGACGCCCCCAGCCCTGCCTGGAGACCCCGAGGGTCTTCAGCTTTAGGGTCCGTCTTGGTGACAGCACCGCGCAGGAGCAGCGTTACGTGGGGAACAGAGTCCCCTGCGGGCTGCTGGGTGGCTGTCCCTGGGGAGAGGACAGTCCCCTGGGGTTTTCATAGGGGAAGAACATTGGCGCCTCTTGCTCTCCCCATGCCCTGGGTGTCGGGGTGCTTTGGTTGCTCTCCCCCTCCACTCAGCCCCTCTCCATCCCTGTTTTCCAGAAGGGCCCCCCCCGAGCCCTGCACCCATGTGCCAGCGGCGGGGCCAGCACTGTGTCCCCCACCCACCAAGGGTGCGGGTCCGTCCCCTCTCCTTCCCCTGCCACCCTCACCACAGGGTGTTGCAAGACCCATGGCAGTTTCTGCATCCGGGTGCTGGGTGCTGGGGGCTGGGTCGGCACCGCTTCCTCCCTGCTCGCCCTGACAAGCTCCGCGTGCTTGTTAGGGTGCCCTGACACTGGCCCCAGGCCAGCTCCCACTGGGGGGGTGTGTGTGCGAGGGGAGGTGTGAGTGCACACGCATGGGTGTGCGGCAACCCTGCCCAGTGCTGGGAGGGGTCTTCATGCAGGGTGCTGGGCCTGTCCTGTGGGTTCTGGCTCCATCCCATGGGTGCTGGCCCCATCTCACAGGTTCTGGCCCTATTTTATGGGTGCTGGCCTTGTCCCATGGGTGCTGGCTCCATCCCATGGGTGTTGGACCCATCTCATGGGTCCTGGCCCCATCCCACAGCTGCTGGCCTCATCCTACAGGTGCTGGCCTCATCCTACAGGTGCTTTCCCCATGCTGTGGGTGCTGGCCTCGTCCCATGGGTGCTGACCCTGTCTCACAGGTGCTGGCCTCATCCCATGGGTGCTGGCTCCATCCCATGGGTGTTGGACTCATTCCACGGGGGCCGGCCCCATCCTCCAAATGCCGACACCCTCCGGG